GCGTAGGCACATTTGCATTCACTGCAACAAACACGCAGACAACCTGGTTTCTGAGAATAAATCAGCTTTAAGTCTTAGAGTGGTCTGGGTTTGATCTTATTCAACGATCGACAAAGCAAGTAAACTACAAATTAGACTATTTATGCAGATGCTGTTCCTAACACCACCGGAATTCGAATGAAGGTCACACAGATTACAGACATGGACCCTAAACACCTCTAAGGGAAACTTTTAAATACAAAATTAATAAAAACTTTTGAGTTACAAACGATCAATAGACAAACTTAAAACTTTCTTTCAATGTCAGCAACTTAAAAATGCCCCCACAAATCTTAGATCGATATAATATAGTAATAATATTAATGAGATAATTATCGTTACTGTCCGTAACCAGACATCCTCTACTGGAAACGCTTTCATTTCTTGAAAATGGCTGTCCATTAAAAGGCTGATCTGATCCATTTGACACACACACTGTCCAGAAAACCTTACGCCATCATGGTGCTGGCGCTGCTGTTATGGGCCGCAAGATGTTTAAAATGAGGTGCCTGACAGCAGATAACATCTGAAAAGCACTGGATCCATTATGGTGGCTGGTGTTCCGGGAATGGGAGAGGAGGAAAGAGACTCATCCAGAGGACTGGAGTGTAGAAGCAGGAGGAAGGGGGTAAGACGCGATGTAGAGGGGGCAGAAAGAGATGGTCTGACAGTGGGGTAATTTCTTTAACTATTGGCTTTACTGATTATCAACAAGAAAAATAAAACATGAGAAACACATCCTACATTTATAATTAAACAAGAAGGGAAAAGCTTTCTTGCTTTATATTGTTTATAATAGCTCAAAACTTATTGAATCTAGAAAACAGTAAAATAAAAATGCTCTTAAAGCATTTTTATGCAATCTTACTTCATCTTGTTCAAAGTTTTGGTAAGTTTTCAATATCAATACAAAGGGTACACCTGGGATACACACACGATGCTACAGTATAGCCTATTAATTTTAGCCAGACTTATGATGGCAAAGACAAGAGAAAGAGAGCAGGAGAAGTCAAGGGGAGACGGATGTGGATCTAAAGTTAAAGACAGCCTGAGAACAATTGAACTGTGTAAAATGGCTTCAAATGAGGCAGAAAGTAGATTCAAATTTATGGTGAGAGAAGAATGGAAACCAAGACATGAATAACCCTTCAGCTGGGTCAGGAAAAAAAAAAGAAAGTATAACAGGAATAAATATATGTGGAAGATGATTTTGTCCACTGTTTGCTCGGTGGTGGATCTCTGATGCTGGGGGATACATTCTCTGCCAAAGGCCCTTTTTAGATTTTATGTAAGAGACGAAAATTGAGTTAAATCTTTTTTGATACACAGACCTAAATGTTTTGCATTCAATTATTTCAATTTTTCCAGATGGGGTGAAACTATGATGATATAGCCTAGTAAACTAGTCCCACCCGGCAGCAGCCAAAATCATTTTAGCCTGTGAGTGGTCTAGCCTCGATCAATGCCCAGGCCCAACAACTAGCGGGCCAATCACAACGCAGAGATATGTTTTGAATTTCTGGATGAAAAGCGGGTGGGGTTTAGAGGGCGTGACGACAAAGCTGCGCGACACTGAAGAAAGTACAACAAGGAAGATAGCAACAACTATTAAACAGTAGCATGCACTGCGGCAGCAGCAGCTTTCAATTGAGCACTCCATTGAAAGTAGACTTGGGGTTTTCATTGAAACGTGAGTGGGAAGAGGCTCTACGCTCATTAATTTTTAAAAAGGATGTAATCAGAACCCCCAACGACCCCTAACGGACGTAAAGACAACGGGTTGTTCTCATCAACAATCTTCTGATGTCTCATTCATCGTGGCCAGACTAAATTACACATTTAATCTCCCATTTAGTCTGGTTTATCAGGCTAATGATAATAGTTATAATAGTCCATATCCAGTAATTAGCATTACCTGAATTTCCCCAATGTAGGGCACTTTAGGCATCTCATACATTTAATCATTAACTCATGAAAACACACCAACGTATTCTGGCTTCCTTTGGTCAAATTTGGAAACAGAATGCATTGCAAACTGTTAATGTCCACAGTTAAGTATGGTGCAGGATCAGTAATACTGCAGGCCCCTTTTCTGTTTCAGTTGTCTTGGAAACCATGCTAGACTGAATGGCATAAAACTATTTGACTTACATAAATGTCCGTTTGAGTCTGCTAAAAAATGGATCAGTATTTAGCTATTTTTACTGAAAAAGAGTCCAAACACGTTACTATGGAGCTATATCAGTCTCAATTTTCACAAATACACATATATGATTCATACATACACGGGACAAGATTCACAGACGCACAGCACGATTCACACAAGGACAAAAAAAAAAAAAACACGATTCACTCAAGGACAAAAAAAAAACAAAACACGAAGGACGATTCACAGACGCACCGAACGATTGACGCATGCACACACAAGATCCAAACATGCAAACACTCCCCTTGTTTAAAAAAAATGCATTTGTGTATCGTGGCATGTCAAGGGTGTCCCAAAAATCCACACAAATGCAGTGAAATTTAAAAGACCACTGGCACTTTATAATTTAATTTATATTTTAGGTAATTCGTATTTTTACCAGAAATACTTTGGCGAATTTTGTTCTGTGCATGTGTGAATCTTGTATGCTTGTGTGACTCGTTCTGTGCGTGTGTGGATCTTGTACTCTGTGTGTAATTTTTTGTGCTTGAGTGAATCTTGCTGTGCATGAGTGGATCTTGTACTTTGTGTGTGTATGGATATTTTGTGCTTGTGTGAATCGTGCTGTGCATGAGTGGATCTTGTACTTTGTGTGTGTGTGTGGATTTTTTTGTCCTAGTGTGAATCGTGCTGTGCATGAGTGGATCTTGTACTGTGTGTGTGTGTGGATTTTTTGTGCTTGTGTGAATCGTTCTGTGCATGAGTGGATCTTGTACTGTGTGTGTGGATTTTTTGTGCTTGTGTGAATCGTTCTGTGCATGAGTGGATCTTGTACTGTGTGTGTGGATTTTTTGTGC